CTAAATGCAATACTTGTGCGGATGGAAATGTTCGGCAACAATATAGTTGCATGTGCAAAAGGTTGGACTTGCATTGCATATTTGCATTACTTAATTTCTTGAATACAAACAGCATAACTTTTGCATTACTATAGAACGGTAGATAAATTTGGATTTTTGTTAATATCTCCATTCAACTTTGGTCGTCATACTTTTGTCTTGCATAATTACAAAGAAACATTCATTTAATTAATGCCTAAAAGCACAAATGAGTAATGCTTGAAGTCTTATCTTTTTCCTTAATAAAAAAGTCTTCTGTCTTTCATTAATAGGTTAGAGTAATAAATTTTAACTAATAACATTTGATGCCCTTTTAAGACTTGCCAACTCAAATATTCTTTAAGTGAGTTTTTTGTCAAATAAGATGTCGTGCCATGCTCAACAAGTACTGTCAGCTCTTTTTGCATTAAGTAAATATGTACCAAGAAAATAAATTCCTTTCAATATTTGTATGCATAAATTTGGCCTTTGTAGTAGTCTTTAAGCTTTTTTGGCTAATAGATCATTGTTAAAATTGTATGTGCTTAAACCATGGCCTCCATTAGATTTTGGAGTTATTAGGCATTGCCAGATCATTATGGAAATAAATATGATAAATACCAGTAATTATCCAAAAAAAGGACTATTAATCACAACTTTTTATTCAAATCATTTAACTTTTTTTTTAGGAGACAGAAGTTATAATTATTATTAATGATCCTTGCTAAAGTCAATCATATATGGTGTAGAATGATTTTAGCCCCATTAAATCAATCCACATCGAACCTGGTTCGATCAGTTGTGTGGGAAATCCTGTCCAATTGCTTTTTAAAGTGCCTTAGTAGAAAGAATAGAACAAAATGAGAGTGGCTACTTTTGTGTTGTTTTATTCTCACTTATTTCAAATTTATTCCCTTGTAATAGCTATCATATATGAACAAAACTTCAGATAAAATCTTACTACTACCAAGTTATTAATCAACACTTTAGAATTTTAAATGGCATAAAACCATTAATTGTTTCCATGAAAGCTTTTGCCTAGATTGTTGATTAAATAGCAAAAGCATAAGATCACAAAGTAATCCAAAAGCCCAACGATTAAGGTAATACCAATCATGGACATCACTTTTGGCCGATGGAAATTAAAGGACAATGATTTCTCTAAAATGGAGTGGATTAGTATGATATAAGTTTGATGTTTTGTAGTCTAGATTGCAAACTATCTAATGAATTGCAAAATACTAATCATTAGCCATATGGAGAGACCCACACCAATTATCAAAAGACCCTCATTATCATCCAATGGTTAATGTTTTGCAATTCTCATCTGGCTGCAAAACACACACACACGTGTATATATTGATTCAGAGTAAGGGTTAAATTAATCAATAAGTTAGTTCTCTAAGTGTAAAATGGGAAGGACATAATTAAATAAGCACAGCTACAAAACCCAGGAGAAATGAGGAAAAATTCCGAAATCTGCAGAAGTAAAATTCTCAACCTCTAATCTTTCAACCACTTGACTTAAGGCTTCATATTGGGTTCTTTGTTTGTTGTTTAAATAACAAAATGCATTTCAATGGCATTTTTTAGGTCAGAAATTGCATTTCAATGGTTGGATGGATTATTACTAGCAAAAGAAGATTAATTACTGTCTGGTTCACTGCCATCATCTTTGTGATGAAAACATCAAAATTATAAGATAGCAAATCTCAATCAGGGGTATATTGCGGGAAACTTTTATGGCTGATTAATTTTGAAACTAATTTAAATTCAATTAATTTTCTGGTATTTGAGGGTGGGTAATTTTAACTTTTCAATCTTGTACATCGATCCTTCATCCAGTGATCATGATTCTTGACTACAAAGCATGGAATCACTTCACTCTTGCCAAAGTAAATGACAGGGCTTACGCCTTCCTTTAGCAAGTCACTTTATCCCTGGACACCTATTTATGCTTCAGTATGTCTACACTTTTGCGATTCCTAGTTCTTGAAGCAAAGTATGCTGCCCCTGTTGGAGAATATGAACATGTGAGTGGAGTCGAGTTGTGTGGTTTTGCAAAGATCCCACATCAATGAGAAACAAAGTGTTAAAGTGTGATATATACAAGGAAGCCCATAAAGTTCTAACCATATGTCTCTTGGGTTTAATGTGGCGTGTCCAAATGTGTGGTCGCCTTCCTCTATATATAAATGATTACCATCATCCTTCTTCTGCGCAAAACAACAAATCACTCATCAGTGTTTCACTTCCAATCTTTGCTATCAAATTCTTGCTTTCATCCAACTTGTTCCTTTCATTATCTGTGCTCTATCCTTCTTTTCAACATCTTCTGCTACCCTTCTGACATCACCTCACATCCTTTTACATCTTACCTTACTTCTTCCTTGTTTCCTTCTCACATATTAATTAATTTTATTCGTTTTCTTCTTTGTTTCTTGTCTGGCTATTTTTGTTTGGAATCTGTGTATGTACATTTCTCAAATTAAACTCCCAAAAAAATAAAAAAGAATTAGATATGACCGAGGCTTTCGACTCATTTGCTTATTTTTGCTTCTTTTTGTTTCTTGTTTAATTTTTACTTTCCGCTTCTGTATAATTTCCTGCCTTTTACATTCCTTTACCAGAAAAAAAAAAAAAAAATTCCCACTTTTCCACTTCTATTATCACAAACTGACCAGTGATATCACTGCATTATCTATTTGATTTACTTTGCATTTGCCCCTCACCTATTTCTCTAAACCAAGGAGAAAAGGGGAAAAAAAAAATCAGGAAGATTATGGGTGATTCTGTAAGTCTTTCTTGCTTTGCAAACAAAGTTTTTGACAAGGTTTTTGATCCAGTTGTTGCCTACCTTGTCATAAATCCAATCACTGCTCTGTACTTGTGGAAGCAAAATGTTACGAAACTAACGGCTAAACTGGGTGAGCTGGCCATTAGGAAAGGGGACCTGCAGCACAGAGTTTATGAAGCTCAGCAAAGGGGGGAGGAGATTTTGGAGAAGGTCAAGCAGTGGATGAGTGAAGCGGACAAGCACATCAGTGGAAAGGGAAAAGACGAAATAGATGAATTAAAAGCAAAGGCCGAGCGAAATTGTTGCTTTCGGTGGTGTCCTAATCCCAAGGCTATCTATGATCTTAGTGAGAAAGCTAAGGAGTATGCTGCAGTTGTCGATCAACTCATCAAAGAGGATTTCGAAGGGGTTTCCTGCTTTCTTTTTCAGAAAGAGGAAAGTATTGTTTCAGGGGATGATTTTGTTGTCTTTGAATCAAGAAAGAAGGTTTTGGACGAGATCATGAGGGCACTACAGAGTCCAACTGTTGACATGATAGGGGTGCGCGGGATGCTTGGTATGGGGAAGACGACGCTGGTGAAAGAAGTTAAAAGAAAAGCTGAGCAAGGGAAATTGTTTGATGTTGTGGTCATGGCTAAAGTGACAAGGAATCCTGACTTGACAAAAATTGTGGAGGAAATCGCACGTGGCTTGGGCATGTTTCAGCTTCCTAAAGAACTCTCTCCTCGGCAGGTAGCTGATCGAATAAATGAACAGCTGAGAAAAAAGAATGCGCTTGTAATTTTGGATGATATTTGGGAGAAAATAGATTTGGAGGAGGGTCTTGGAATTCCTTCTAGAAGCAAGCAGAAGCGTCCTGTAGCAGAGCAACGGAATAAGGAGAGCTCATCAAGAGAAGGACAAAAGGTGTGTAAGGTTTTACTTACATCCAGAGAACAAAAAGCTCTATCAGAAAAGATGGGTGTTAAAAATGAAAACATTTTCCATGTTAACAAGTTGGAAGATGATGAGGCTAGGGAGCTGTTTAAGTTGAGAGTTGAAGATGATATTGAAAGCTCTCACCGATCGGAAGTTACTGAGATTGTGAAGAGATGTTGCGGACTGCCACTTGCCATTGAAAAAATGGCAATAGCTTTGAGAGGAAAGGAAGATCGTTACTGGAATTCTTTATTGCAAGAACTTAAGGCCTCTAAGGATGGAGAATATGCTGTTGTTCGTTCAGCTATTGAGTTCAGTTTTAAACGGTTGGAAAGCGAAGAACTCCAGCACACTTTTTTGCTTTGCTGTCTAATGGGCCACAATGCGTCCATTGAAGACTTAATGGAATATGGTACTGGCTTGAAATTATTCCCACAATTCAACAAAATAGAGGACTTCCGAGTTGCAGCACTCTATTTGGTGAATATGCTCCGAGACTCTTCTTTGTTACTTAATGGTCCTACCAACATGCAGTTCGACATGCAAGATGCCGTTCAGGATGCTGGCATGTCAATTGCTTCCAGGGATGGAAGCGTGTTAGCTTCCAAAGATGAAGATGCAGCAGCGGTGTGGCCAGAAGAGGAGGCAATATCTGAAAAACTCAAGTGGATTTATTTGTCAAATGCTGATATTAGTCAACTTTTTCATGAGTTGGAGTTGGTGGACAATTCTGAAGGAGGGTGCCATCAAAAGGTACAATTTCCTCAGCTTACTTTCTTTCATTTGTCTAATAAGTATCCTTCAGAAACTGCAGTCCCAGCAGACTTTTTCAAGGGAATGAAAAACCTCAGAGTCTTGAGTTTGACTAAAATGCATTTCCCATCGATACCTCAATCAGTTTCCCTCCTAACAAACCTTCAAACTTTGCGCCTCAATCAAAGTAAGTTAGGAGCACTAGAAGGCATGGGAGAGATTATAGGAAAGTTGAGTAGCTTACAAGTCCTCAACCTTGCTGGATGTGATATTACTAAGCTGCCAAAGGAAATAGCATGCTTGACGAGGTTAAAGTTGCTAGATATGAGTGACTGTACCAATCTCAAAGTAATTTAACCGGACATCTTGTCCAAATTGTCTAGACTAGAGAGGAGCTAAAAATGGCCAACAGCTTTGATCAGTGGCAATTTATTGAACAACAGGAAAATCAAAAGGAAAATGCTAGCCTTGCTGAATTGAAGCATTTGCAGAAATTGACTACTTTAGAGGTTTGTATAAATGATATCCAAATGATCCCGAAGGCTTATTTAATGCAGAATTGGAAAGATACAAGATTTTTATAGGAGATTTGTGGCAGTACCGGGACACTTCTTCTGAAAACTCAAAAATACTGAAGTTGGAATTAAGGGCATGCAGTTCTCATAGTGCAGTTACAAAGTTATTAAAAGTCTCTGAAGAACTACATCTAGAGGGATTGCCTGGTGTTAAGAATGTGGTTTATAAGTTAGACAATGAAGGTTTTCAGAAACTAAGATATCTGTATGTTCGAAGTGCTCCCGAGATTCAATTTATGATTGATTCAGAGAGGTTGGCCTGTAGCAACGCATTTCCAGTCTTGGAGGGGTTGGTTCTTCAAATTTTGAATTTAATGGAGAAGATATGTCATGATCGGGGCCTGCATGGAGCAGCATCTTTTAGCAAATTAAGGATCATAACCGTTGAATGTTGTCATCAGCTCAAGAATTTGTTCTACTTGTCTGTAGTGAAACAGCTTCTCCAACTCCAAAAAATTACCTTGAGAGACTGTGAGATCATTGAAGTGATTGTTGCTGAAGAGGCACAAGTAACTGTCCACGAGATTGAGGAACCAGCTACAAAAATTGAGCTTGGCCAAGTACAGTCCCTGAGATTAGGGAAACTGCCTAATTTTATTTGTCTCTCCCAGGAAAAGAATAGTAGCATCAGAGATCAAGAAAGGAGTCAGTTGACAACCTCTAGACGTAGGTCACTTTTCAATGAAAAGGTATTTAATTTATTTATTTCCTTAATCTTTTAAAATTTTTTCAAGTTACTCCGTAACATTTTTATGGCATATATAAGGGATTAAACGATGAGCTTGTTTAGTTGACAGTAGTGGATATTTATTAGTTAAATTATAAAAACAAACTAAATTTTAGATATGTTCATAGAAAGACATTGTATGTTTTTTCAGGTTATTTTCCGAATGCTTGAGGAGTTGGAACTGACTGATATTAAGATTGGCAAGATATGGAACACTTCAGCAACAACTGAATGCGTTCAGAAGCTTGCCAAATTGAGCATTAATTGTTTCCTGTTGTGATTTAAAATATCTATTCACATCCTCTTTGGCTAATGGTCTGGTGAAGCTTCTTCACCTTGAAGTAGAAGACTGCAAGAGTTTGAGAGAAATCATCGCCACGGAGTCTGGTCCTGAAATAGGTAATACAGAATAATTCTTTTCTTTAGTTGAACTTTATGCAGATAAAACAACTTGTAGAAAGCATCCTCAATATCATTTGGAAAAAAAATAATTTTAAAATGTCGAAAGTTGATTTAGAAATATCTAAATTATGTCAAAAAAAAATATATATATATATATATATATACATACAACTTTAAACATAGATTTATCATAAGTGGTTTTTTAAATCTTAAAATATAAAAAGAAGAAAGATTTCTGTGTTTGATTTATTTTTAAAAAAGACTGAAAGTTAGTTTTGGTCCTGAACTTTAAATTTTGCATGTTTCCTTTTGCACTACTTTGGTCAATAAACTAATAATAAAAATCTATATTAAGGGACTTAAAAACTACTTAAATTAATTTAGGGAAGAGCTTTTTCTGTGCACATTTAAGAATTAAGAAACAAAAAAATGTTTAAATTAATTCAAATATAAAAAAGTGTAAGTTTAAGGTCTGGGGAATAAAATTACCATTTAACCTTGAGAAAATATTGCTGGGCTCATCTACGCTATTCATAATAGCACTACTGTTATGGTGTTATACATTCAACTAGTAAAATGTGAGCCAACAATAAGGCCCCACATTAACTAGTTAAGAAATTAAAGGCTGTGTCTTCACAATCTGGAAGTTGCGGGTTCGAGTTGTTTTAAAGGATGGTCTTCTTTATTTATTTATTTTGTGTAATGTGCGTAAATATTTTTTTAACCGTAAAAGATAAGTTTTTTCA